TGTGGATCTTTATTGCCAGTAGTCCCAGCTTCACTGATAGGGCCAAACTCCAGGTTACTTCATCAATATTTATTCAACAAAATCTTACTGAGCCACCTACTTTGGGCATGGCAGCCTAGTGGCAGATAGATCTGCAGAATGAGGAAGAAAAGAAAACAGTAATGAACCAATCCTCTGTCCCCTTCATAACCTTTGCAGAGCTGCTAGCACTGTGTTCTGTCTGTCATTTATTCATCATTTCTGCAGGAACAATGATCCAGGTTCTGTGCTAGGTCTTTTTTTTTTTTTTTCAATTCCAATCGACTTTCATTATTATTTTCTCCTTGGCCATTTTGACCAGAACTTTGTGCTAGGACTTGAAGGTAGAAAGACAACTCCTTCCTCCTTTTCTAGATCACAGGATTCTTTCTAAGTTCATGAACCTTAAAATGGAAGTGTGAAGTGCATTAATGGAGGCCATTTTTCCTTTTCCTGAGCAGATCCTTTCCCCTCTAGGAGCTTGCTGACTCAATGTCAAATGGAGAGAATTAGAACTTTTCCTGTGAGTGTATTGGGACATAGTATGTATGAAAAGCAGATCTGCATAGAAAAAAAAAGATTTAAGAGTAAATAATAATTAGTGATTTGGGAGAGCTAATAGTATTGTTTACTATGTCGTAAATGTCCCAATTGCTTTAGTTAATATTAACCTTATGACACTTCTAAGGTAGGTACTATTCCCATTTTAGAGATGAGGCAACTGAGGAACAGAGGTTAAGTGATTTGTGCAGAGTTATACAATAAGTAGCAAAAACCAGGACATGAACGTAGACCTAAAAGCTTCAGAATCTGAGCTCTGAAAGAGAAAGATCAATGGGCTTCCTCCCGCACTTGGGCTTGAACCCAAAACCAGGGTATGTACCCTGATGGGGAATGGAACCTGCACTTGGGCTTGAACCCAAAACCGGGGTACGTACCCTGTTGGGGAATGGAACCCAAAACCCTTGGGTGTATGGACAAAGCTCCAACCAGCTGAGCCACTCTCACCAGGACCAGGATCTGAGCTCTTAACCACTATGCTATTTCACCTCTCACATGACATGCCAACAAAGCCATTGCTTAAAAAAATGTCACAGCAAATAAGCTAAAGTCTCTCTACCTCAGTTTTGTTTTATCATTAATAAAATGGGGGAGTTGGATTAGATGACCTTTAAGGAATCTTTATGATTCCTGTGAAATGTTTAGTTCAGGTAGTAAACATTAATTTAAACCAACAGCTACTTAGTATAGACCAGGCATTCTGTTTGGTTCTGGTGATCATATGCCTGCCTTAACAGAGCCATTCAAACTCGGGTTTATTGCTAGTTTCACTTTAACTCTGTTACCACCTCCTGATACCATTCAAAGTTTAACCTAAATCGTTAAAGTTTGACCTTACTCAGGTGTATCTTTCCACCTCAGCAGACAACTGCTTGTTTATGTTAAAGTTAGCTTTGTGCTAATTCTGCACTCCAGTTTTTAGCCCTGGTTGTTCTGTGTATTGAATGCTAATTGTTCTGAATTTGAGAGAAAATAGGATGAAGGGAATTTCTTTGATTATATGCAGTTTAGAAGTCACACTGTGTCTTGCTTTTGAAGTTGTCGGCATTCTGGCAGTTAGTTTGAGTGCTCTACTGACCAACTGGGTTTTAAAATACAAAGTAAACTGATTAAAGCTTATGTCAAGGTATAGGGAAAAGATTGGAGTTTAAGTCTCAGGTGAGATACATAAACAGTTCACAGTGGGTTCTATTCTGAACTCATGGGAAATAAGAC